TTTTGTTTTTTTTGTAACACTTAAAGATTTTTTACAAATCGGGAATTTAAAAACCTTATTAGATCCAATTATTATTTCGTTTACCACAATGAGCATTTTTTATTATTATATTTGTTAACAAAAATTCAAACAAATTGAAGAAAGAGGAAAAACATTGATGTCAAAAGAATATGCATCCTCATTCATCATGATTTTGTGTGTGTGTGTGTGAAATATACGTCTTTTAGTCTCAAAACTACGTGTTGTGGTCTTTCTTTTATGTATTGCGTTATGACATTTTATGTTTCTTTCCTTTGTTTCTTTGAAGTTAAACACAAAGCTACACAATGGGCTATCTGTGCTCTGCACACCACGGGTATCGAAACCCGGATTCTAGCCATGTAAATCCGCAGACATTTTATGAAAAATATGTACGTGATAGATAGAAATGGATACCATTTTCGGATTCAGCTTACAGGAATTACCATAGAACATGTAAAAATTACAAGACAATAAAACCATCGCAGGGCTGTGTAATTAAACTTAAAAAGTGCAAAATAGTAGTTTAAGCGTTAAGTTTGAATTATAGCGGCCCTGTAAATGTGAGCCATAGGCCCACGGGTTCGCTAGTAGAATAATAATTTTTGTTACATATTTGAATTATAAATAGAAAAATCAAGGAAATAAAATATTATATTGCTTTTCAAATGGCATACGTTTGTCTATTCTATAAACTAAAATGTTTCTTTTATTAACTTTATTAATTTATATGAATAAATTCCAACCCTAATCTCAAATTTTGATAATATCAACTGAAAACAAATTAGTTGGTTAACACGAGGCTTAATTTAAATTTAATTTGCTTTTTATATCGTTATTTGATTTTTAAGACTCATTATTATTGTAATTTCAATGAACAATTTACAATTAGTAAAATATATATCTAAAACCTCTTTTCTTCAACAAAGACAATTTAAAGATACTCGAAAAATAACGAAATAAATCACATTTTGCAAGACTTAAATCTATAGCCTTCCCCTCTGGCTTAGAGAGAAAGAGGGCAGAAGCAACAACCACCAGGTGGACAGCATCCAAAATTAGCACAATATATTTCATACACCTGCTAGTTCAAGAACAGGTGGACTGCCACATATTTAGTGTTATTTATAGTTCAGATGAAACAGCAAGACTCAGTCGTACGCTAACTACTTCGACAGTTGAAGCATTATTAAGTACAAAAATCAACAATGTTTTCCTTCTCTTCTGATGAGGGGTCTCTTAGGAAAGCTCTTGATATGAGGATAAGGTCATTATATCTTCATCGACGGCTAATCTTTTTGATAAAAATGGTCATCTTACTGGTTGTAATTGGTTTGGCAATACTGTTTATAAATTCAGAAATCAAAAACATCTTCAGAAACATTAGCAAGTCTCAGGAGGAAAGGAAAATAAAGAAAGATCTGGAAATAGACCAGTTGTTACCACCAGAGGAAGTAGAATTACCTCCAATGCCGTAAGTAACTTTCGTTTTGTTACAATATGTATATTTTCTTTAAGTAATTTTGGCTTAGATAAATGAATACTTTTTTTCAAAATTGGTAGTTCTAAAAATTAACAGATCAAGATGTAGAGGAAAGTTTTGGTTTCACAATTACTTTGTCCTCATAAAGTAATGTATTTAAATTATCATATTTTGAACATAATTTATTAGCGTTAAGATCAGTCTATAAAATTTGGTGAACACTAAAGACTACACAATAGCTTATATGTGTTATGCCTACTGCAGGGATTGAGCCTTGAATTTAAGTCTTCAAGCTTACTAATGAGCTACCGGAGTTTAAAATAATTATTATATGGCCATTGCAGCTACCAATTACAGCAGTACCTTAGTGTTATGCTCGAAAATAAATCACTTTGCCTTCAGATTATCATACCAAGGCTAAAAAATGTTTTACCAGTAAGTCTCTTAAGGCACTATTCTTGTGTTATAGAA